TTCGCTCGATCGATCGATCGATCGCTTGCAGCCACGATTATTTCATGAAAACACCGTCTTTGTTAATGAATTACGAATGACTAGCGACTTTTAAGAATCACGGAACCGTCGAAAAAGATGTGCAAATGATTAATGACCAGACGAGAACAGCGGACAAGCGACGAAGAACCGCGAGCAACGCTATACTCCAGCGTTCGGTTGATCATTATGAATGGCGAAAACGAGCGGTTACAAAGGTTAGCGAGCTAGATCGAGCGTTGGTATAATGGGTCAGATGGAAGGGAAGGCAATTATTCCGGTGAAACGGCGGTTTCGCCAGGCGAAGAAAACGACAAGACGAGACGGGCTTGTAGTAGTCGTCGAAAGCCGGTACGAAATAGAAGAAGAACACGGCGATCCGCCGGCCCGATTATACTCCGCTTCTCGAAAATTGCTACTTTATATACGCGTCGCGAGACCAGCTTGGAATTATGTCTCAGATGCGTAAATCCGGTAGGTGGAAATCCTTGAAGCTGAACTACCGAACTCGTCCAACGCGCTTCACCTCTCCGACTACTACACACTTTGGACAAGCGTAGCAAAATCGGCGATAGGTAGTCTCGAAAAAGAAATTGCACGCAAGGCAAGTAGGAGGAAGGTAGAAAAAGAAGACGCGAGCTATTCGGTAGATACCATTACGACATCGACTAAAGAAGAGACCGACATGTTCCTTACGTGTCAATCGTCGCGTACGGCCGCACCTCGAGTTCGCAAGAAGATAATATTGCCCGCCTAAAACGGAGGCGAGGTACCGCCGAGCAATTTTTACGGCAAGCCTCTCTCCTTCGAGAAGCTTATACGGCATCGAGAAACGATCGTCGAACGGGAGGAATTCGCCCGTGGGTGCTCCTGTCTGTCCTTCGTCTCCACACGCACAGGCACGCGTGCCCACGCAGTCACGGTGACACGACACGCGTGCACCGCGAGTGGTTCAACCGGTATCCGCCATATTTGGCTGGAGGAACAGCCGCGTGAACTACGGAGATGCAGAGATCCAGCAGAGGAAGAGGTCACCGATGCTATCGGTACCGGGATAAGCCATTTGGACTTGCCATTTCAACCAAAGAATCTTCCCGATATACCGTGAATTATAACTAATCGGGAAGTCGTAAATTAACTAAGGAGAGAGAGAGAAGAAGACAGCGAGAGAGGGAGAGCGCGCAAATGTATTCCACCGTAAAAAAATCTTCGCCTTTCGAGGAGATGGGAGTTTCGTTGCCACCCTATCTATTCTGTCTATAACGTTACCCTCTAAATTTAAAGACAGTTAGAGCCAGGCGTAAAACAAGCGAATCGAAAGAACCCCTTGCGTTCTTCGAAACTCGATAATCTTTTTCCCTATCGATCTCTCGCTTTTTGTGCGGATGGTAGGCGCTCGTGAAAAGTGGAGAATGATTCTCGCGTAAACGCTCGAACGTGTGGGATCGAACGTTAAAGAGTATCTTCGAGACCTCGAAGATCTAACACGGCTGGGTTTCAGCTTGGAAAAACTTTCCACGGTGAATAACGTTTACGACGGAATATCGTAGTCAGCGTGGCATGGAATGTTAAAGGAACGACGAAGAATGGACGGCACGTTTCTCTTCCATCAACGGATCGCCATTCATGCACCACCGACATAAAGGATTTTGTGTCAAAGATCACGATCCTCCGGTGATCATTTTTCCTTGCGAGAACCAGGGCGCGATAACTGTATAAATTTTCCCCTATGCAGCGCCATTTTTCTTCAATCGCAAAAGTTGCAACCGCGAATACAACGAGGAACGATCGACGACCGACCAGCCAAGACCCAGTTCCACCTCGTATGGAAAAAGTAGAAAAAGTACGATCATCCGTCGAACGTTGGTCGATCGACGCGTCTGGATGGATCGTCGTTGAAAAAAGTAGATCCGCTAGATCAGCCACGGCAGACGACGTAATCTCGATTACCGGACGAATTGATCCTCGTGTAATAGCTTTATTCGAAATTCCATTCACTGCGAGTCGAATGTGTAATCGTTTCTTCGTTGATCGTTTATCGATCGGTGAGAAAAACGAATTATTAATCTAATTTTCATTAGATTCTAATTCCGATAGAAGCTATTAGTCGGGAAGGAAGGACGAAGTGATCGATCGGCCGACGTCTAGACCTTCTAGCGAGATCGCAGATCGAGTTTCCGATCTGGAATCTCTCGGAGAAGATCGTTTCGATTTCAAACTGGATCGACGACAACGCCTCGTCGGGACGTTTTGAACGCACAGCAGCTTTTACGATCCTCCATACTTTTTTCTTCCTTGCGCATCAGCCTTTGTATTTTCTGCACTGGTTCCCTCCCTCCCTGCCCCTTCTCAGCGGATAATTGTTTTTCCTATTCATTTTATACCTTCTCGTCCATGGTGGTCTCGAGCAAAAATCGATGAAAATCGATTGGACGGTAGATCGCTTTGCTGAAAACCGGAGTGTCAGCCTTTTTAGCCTTTTCTCCGCGCTCTTCGCCGATGTCCAACGTCCGTGCAGATTGGCAACCGGTTTTCCTATGGCCTCTCCCAGCCGATTCCTCACTCCCACTCTCACTCCCACCTTCGATTCCCATTCCAGCAGACCCTCTCGCATTCTCTGCGTCCTCCTCCACCAGGGACGCCGCGTTATCCCATCTTCTCCCTTTCTTTCCACTCTCCTTATCTCTCCCTCGTCAGCTCTGTCCTCCGCTCTTTCACCGTTTCCCCATATCTTTCGGAAGAAATACGCAACGAGCTTGTCACACTGAACGATGCTACACGACCAACGTTGCAAATTCTTCCCAAACCGAGCCCATATCCGGGCGACTTGCTCGCCGCGTCATCTTCAACGAACATCGATTACGCATCCATTCGATTCCCTTTTTCGCCAATTCTTATTTTGCATACAACACCACAGTGCTTGACCGTAACGCGTCGGTGCATTGCGAAACGCTCGTTCGTATATCGTTCGTTAGCTTCGTTTCAGCTTCGTTCGACGAACACCACCACCGGGGTTTCTGGTTCCACGGCTACGTCACTGCTCGACCCCTGGCACTCTCGTTATTTCTCGTTCTTTCTCGTTCCTTGCCACGTGTTTCAGTCGATCGCGAAACGTACCGAGATACCGTTTCCGGCTGCCGCGGTATCTTTTCGCTTTCTCGCTAGAGGTTCTAACCGCGTTCGCAATTTCTCGCGGCTTTTCCCGATCTTCGATCGCGATACGCGATACGACGGAGACTGCGATGCCTGCAAACCACCGGCGATTATTATTTCATCTTCGCCGTGAACCGCTGCGGCCTCACTGCCTCCTTTTAATCGGCCAACTCGATTTAGTCCGCGATTGAACGCGCTTTTTGCGTTACGCTCCATCTCTGCTTTTTCATTTCCTTCTACCGAGCTATCGACCATAAGGAAAGATATCGAGAGTCGGCCTGACCAGGCGGTTTCTACGCTGTCGCGTAGTTTCCTACGACGAGGCAGTTTATACGTTTATCCGCACCCTTTTTATTTCCCATCTACGACATACGCGGAATTTAGCGAGGGAAAGGAAGAAGGTCTACGCTTTGAACATCTGAAATGGCCGAATATGTTTTCAAGAGAGAATGGAATCCGGACCCGAGTCGTGGAAGAAACGCAGAATGCACAGCGACGAGAGCGATATCTAGTTAGGTCGAATTTCACCTTCTCTTTCCAACGTTCCTCTGGCCACGTGCTGCGAATCCGAAGCGGTGAAAGGAGAAGAACGGAATACAAAATTCGTCTTTGCATTCGACCCCCGTTAAATCGACGACTGATCGATCTTGCGAATAAATTGGCGAAAGAGGTTGCAAGGATCTGCGAATCGACGCGGATTACGAAGGAACGAGAAGAAAGCGCGGAGTTGGAACGTAACTCGAAGCGTAGAAAATCACTTTCCTCCTCGCGTTCCCTTTCTTTTCCCAACGGAAAGAATCCTCTTGGCATCGGACATGCCCAAGTGTTCGCTCGGATGTTCGCTCGTTACTACGTCCAACCGACCGACAGAGGTTGGCTAATCAATTTCGTTGGCTCGCGAACAAGAATCCGAGATGGTGGAACGGCGAAACGTGGAAGAAAATCGAACTCGATCGATCAACCAGAGACAATGCAGCTACCATTAAGCTAGCACCGAGGAATTAACTCGAAGAAACGAATTACCACGAGGAAGCAATCGAGAACGATGTGTCTTCCGTTTGATTACGCAAAAAACGCTTCGTCGCTAAATCAAACGGCACGGAGATCCTCGAACCTACTGTGATTTCTATCGTCGACTCGGCCAATTCGCGATGAAATTAATTTTTTGCCAACTCCTGGCGAACAAAAACGTTCGACTTTCGCCGTGGATAGCAGTAAACACGTAACGCTGCGTCTCGAGTAGCTAGAAGTAGCGAGTGGCGAATAACGAGATATAAGAGGATCGCGTGATTCATCGAGCAATGTTATTGTTCGCGCGTAAATCACGCGAGTTTCGAGCCACTCGCACGGCATTATCGGCATTCTCGCGTAATTTTCCGGCTCTTTTCCGCTCGCCAAACAGCAACTCCACGCGTAGACTAGTTTTTCGAGCATCGAGGATTCTTGCGCGACAAAAAGTTCCCCTGCAATCTAAAAACATCCATCGAAAGCGGTTCCGCTCGCTTACCGCCACACATTTCCGTCAACTTCGCGTCGAAACGGTGGTACACAATTATCCCGATCGCTATCCTATCGACGGGAATGGGTACATCGCGTATCACGATACGCGTAACTCGAACCCCGTTAGCTCGAAGGAAAAGAGATACGAAGGCATTACGTCGAGGTCGATGCGACACAATCGAGTGGCGCAATGGACGAGTGAACGTCCGTCGGCCTTGAGCCAGACATCCACTGTCCACGTGACACGTTTCGAGAAACTCGAAATTCCGGCCACATCCTGCTTTTCCGGAAAATGCTAAACGGATTGGTGCTACTTTAGCTTTGCTCACCGTTCGCTCCCGCCACACCAAGAATACATATCCAGCACAGGAGCAGTCTCCGGGATCCAGCCTCCATGACCACTTACTCGCCCGAACGACGTACGCGGAGATACTCGAAGCGGTGAATCGGCAAAAGGAGCGGCGAAGGGGTCAAAGGGGGGAAGGAAAATGGGGAAGAAGGAGAAGGAAGGTGGGAAAAAAGGGAAGACACGGTGTTTTCGCTCTAACCGTGGAAAAGTTTCATTTAGTCGGATTGTCGTTGGCTCTCCTCGACGATTAGCTTCAACGGCGTCGATGTTCACTTTTGCGTATATCTTGCTCGTTCTACGCGCAGAGTGCTCGCTGAGCAAAACAAGTTGCGAGAGAAGAACGGTAGAAACACCGGGAACACCGGGGACACCGGGAACACCGGGAGGAAGGGGAGAAATGGCGAGGAGAAACGCCGCGACGTAACCGATTCGGAGCTGTTCCCCGAGCGAGAACGCGAGAGACACTGACGGGCCCGTGCACTGGCGGGAGAGTTCGAACCGCACACCGACACACACCGGACCCACGGACCGCGCGCAGCCGGACGTCGACGCAGAACGGGGCAACATCTTTTTAACGGCGCGCACGTGAGATCCGTCCGCTGGTACTCCGTGCAGCAGGTACCCTTGCCGCTGATACCGACATTTTTTCAAACTGCCGGCTTAACCTCTCGCGCGACTCACAGCTGTATTCCTCCAACAAAAACAACGAGTAAAGGTGTAACGCTACAGAGATCTCGAGAGTAACTTTTAAGCGTTCGTACGACCGAAAAATTTGACGGATGAAAATGAAAACGCCGCGTTGATTTTGCGGCGTTTGTGGAATCTCGTACGACCGCGCGAGTAATTCGCTTTCGAAACATCGTTTCGCTGGCATAGGCGAAGAAGAAAAATTTTTGCGAAGAAGTATAAGAATCTCCGTCTAATTGCTTCGTAAAGATCGATCAGTGCGGCAAGATCGATGGGAACGATACGCAAAGAGAGATTATTCTCTCCTCCCACGAGTAGTTGTCGGCTCGAGGTTGTCGGAGAAATAACGAGCTGCACGTTTTGGGCCCGAAGAACGCTTCGATATTTCAACTCTGACGTGTTTATGTCGCCTACGAAATCGAGTCACGTAGGCCGAGCTCTTTTCGAGGTTCCTCCCGTTGAGAAAGCTTTTTATCTTCAAAGAATGGTCGGACGTCGCGTGGCCGTAGGCGTACAGGTCCACGACGCGCTCGGTTCTGGGCCTTACATGGATCTCTGGTCTGAGTCACTGCCCAAAGTAGACTATGTAAATGCGTTCGGCCAGCTCGAAGAACTGGTCGTCTGTTTATCACGTTAAATCTTCTCTTGGAAATCTTCCAGTGCGTCGTCCTTTTTAATTCTATTTATAACTGGCTCGCTCCTCTGTGATATGAAACACGAACCGGAATAAGTAATTGGAAATCGATATGATGAACCGAAGCTGGACCGTGAGCGAAAAGATGCATGATTTATACGGAGGGTAGCCGTTGATCGATAATTAACTATCGCATTAGCGAAGGAAGCCGCGAGTGACGGCGGGTGAACGAAACCGAGGCTCGTCGCCGCGTCTCTTGTTCCACCACGGGAGGAAGGGACGCGCATAAATTTATTCAGGCAAAACAGCCTTGGGGCCTTATGGTCGAGCCGAGGCCAGACAAACGGATGTCTACCTCCGATAGACGCTGCCAGCGAACCGTCGTTCGTGCTCGCTCGTGCACGATCGTGCACGCTCGTACGGTACCTGGATGAGCCACGCTATAGCCAGATCTCGAGGTGAAAGTGTCCAAGGATTTCGTAACGAGCAACTCGATTGCGATATTACGTTTGCGACGAGAAATCGTTGGCTCCGTAACGACCGGCACGGTTCGATGCTAATTGGACTCCTTCCTCGGAGACTGCCTCGCAAAAATTCGATAATTAAAGCGATCGCACGAAAGGCTACAACATTTCCGGTAACGTGCTATCGCGGTTCCATACCTATCTTCCTTTCAGATCGCAAATAATAAGATTTAACGACGAGTAGGAATGAGATGGTGAGAGACGGAAATGGAGAGGGGAAAGCATACACCTCTGCCTTGTCCTCTCGATTTTTCCTTTCGTTTTAATTTATTCCTTTCCGTGGTAAGACGTGGATCGTCATTCGGGACAGATGAATTTTGGGCTCCTTCGAGAAGAACTTGGAACGTTATGGTACATCTGCGATATTTTCAGAGATACCGCATCGAATTTCTTCTCTTCGAGAGCGCGAACGTTCTCTTTTTACATAAAAATGTGTGTCTCGAAAAAAACGCGTTATCCTTTTTCTTTACGCAGTGACGATAAGGATCGCGTGCTTTACGCGTTTACCGATTCAAAGTCCCGTTAATCGTCAACGAAACAGGATGGTGAAGATCCGCCGTATCTCGCTAATTCGTCTGCATCGAGAGGAAGGAAGTTAATAGACTGTACGGTATCGAATAGGGTCGAATAATCCTTAGGGAAGAGCGATAGGAAGCAAAGCGAAACATGTCGCGTGGATGATCGTGATCGTCGCTGACGCCATTAATCTTGCTGCCGGATCGTTTGGCGGAAGCCACAACTTCCACGGGACTTTGGCCTCATTAGAAAGCCCTAGAGCCGTTCCTCTTCCTCCGGGATAACCGTGGATGCTAATTATAAAGCGCAGAATAATGAAATCATCTTACTACGCGCGGCTCGCGAGCCGGCTGACTTCCTTGAGAACTTTTTCAACCGGGCCCCTGCGAGAGAAACGCCTTTATTAGCGGCGGGACAACGCTCTGCGAGGAATTAGGCTCGTGGGATTAGTCGACTAAAGTTATTAAGACAAATTGTCCACTAATCGTCTCGACCTGCCAACTACCTAACGATCTCGAGTTACTCGTCGTATCTGGCTGCCTTTCGTTTCGATCCTGTCGATCTGCCTTTCCTTCCAACCCATTCGTGTCTCACGCGTGTTGCACATCAGCCATTTCGATCGCTCCTATTGTCCAGTTACTCCTTTCCTATTCCCTCGTCGAAAGAGAAGAACGAGAGTTTCGTAGAATCGTTCAGCGAGTGATATATTTTACAAAAATAAATACACGACGTTCAACGTCCTTCCGATGCGTACTGGCGAGACACAACCTATGTACAGCCACGATCTATGCCTCGACATCGATTACGATCGTATCGTTATTTACACGGTTAATCGTGGGACAAGCGAAAGAATCGCGCGAAAGATCTTGCACGATGTCGCGACGCGCTTTTCTTCTGCCGTCACGCTAGAATACCGAAGGACACGGCGATTAAGATCAGGAACGCGTTTGCCGTGCACCCCGACGAGGAATCGAACGTGTGCTGCGCTAATATCTGACACTGCGAGCTACGAAAATGTTTCACGTTCCCCTCCGAGTCTCTCGCGAGTACGCACAACTCGTACTTAGTCCCGGGATCCTCGAGATCCTGAATTTTAAGGGACCTCTCGCTGTAAACCAGGTCTTTCTCGATGGCAGACTTGCTGCTCCCAGATTCTCGCACTACCGCGTAAAAGTCCCCGATGTCTTCTCGCGACGTCACGTACCACGTCGCTTTCCAGCTTTTATCCTCATCGTTGCTGAAACAAGTTTATCGTTACATCATCGAAATCCTAACTTTCCGATTACCAAGATTCGTCGTTCGTTTCAAGGATACGTACTACTCGATGTTCCGATACTTCACGTCGGGTGTGATATCGAATTCGTCGGGATAGTCTTTCGGTTCTCTATCTCCGCACCCCATCAAATCTTCCGTGACTTCTGAGAGCGATTTGTGATTCAGGAAATGCGGACTTTCGCAGCTAACCTTCGACCATTCCTTTGGTATTTCCGTGTGCGTGGCCAGCCACCTCTTTAAGGGTCTCGCGTGGCAATCACAGTGCATTGGGTTTCCTAACGATTACAGTTCTACGTTTCGTTTCTAGTCTTAAGAGATTTCACAGTTTCTTGGGTAATTCTTTCTTACCGTAATAGCGAAGTTCTGTGGCGTTTTCTATGATCTTCATAAACAGATCGTCGAAGACTTCGATTTCGTTGTGTTCCACATCGAGAATTTTCAAATTCGACAGTCGCAGAATCTTGTTCAAGGGAAGGTAAGTCAGACGGTTGTGACTCAGGTACAGATTAGTCAGATTCGACGGTGGATCGAAGATATCCGGTTCCGAGAGGTCGTTGATCTCGTTGTAGGAAAGATCCAGTGTTTGCAACGTTGTTAAATTCCCAAGTACGTCTATGGTATTCGAGGAAAGAACGAAAGGACGTTTGATCGTAATTTAAGATATCGATACGTTCAATACATACTCACATTTTCGAATCTCGTTAATGTTATTGTGACTGATGTTCAAATACTGGATCTTTTTCGTCCCTACGGTAAGCTCGTGAGTCAACACGGGCATGGTGTTGTACGAAAGGTCGATTTCCTTTAACCGATACGGAATCCACGGATCGTTGGGAAATGTTTTCTTGGCAATGAAGGAAATCTTATTATGACTGAGATTCACCCTCTCTAGAGACAAACAATCGTCTAGTAGCCCGTGAGTTTTGTTGTCCAGTCTTTCGATCTTGTTATGCGAAAGATCTAGAGTTCTCAAAGAAACGAGACCCTGGAACGCTCCATTCGGGATACGGGTAAGTTTATTGTTCGTCAGGTTTAACGTCAGCAACTGCAGCAACCCTTCGAATGCACGCATGCTCACGTTCCATATTTGATTATCAGCCACGTTAAGCTCGAACACTATCGGAAGACGTCCGAACGCGGATTTTCCCAGTTCGGTCAGCTGGTTGCCCTGAAATTACGCATTACGCGAAGTATCGCTTTGTTGAAGTTGTAAGATGATACCAATTTGATTTATGACACGATCATCCAACCTGCATGTAGAGATACTGCAAGCTAGTTAGCGTGCTTAGTGCTTCCCAAGGTGGTTTCGTCATGTTATTCGACTGCAGATTCAAGGACCTCAAGGTAAGCAAATTTTCGAAGCTTCCATACTTGAGATTATCGCCCAGTCGATTCGCGGAAAGGTCCAAGGAGAGAAGGGCGTTCATTGCGGGCCACACGTCCGTGGTGGGTATTTCTTCCAACCAATTCTCGGCAAAGTCTAAACTACCCAGAGAGATGGGTAATTGGAAGATTTTGGTCAATCGATTATTCCTGACTGTCAGTCTCCTGTAAATTGGCACGATTTTTATTTAGAAAACAGATTGCCCTGTTCATAGAATCGGACCTTTATAAAATTATTCGTCACCTGCAGCTTGACAATCTGGTTAAACTGCCACGAGCAACGTCGTTCAATTGATTGTAACTCATGTCCAGCTCCAACAGTGTTGGCAGTGGACCAAACGTAGACGGTTTTATTTTCTCCAGTGAATTATACGACAGATTCAAGAGACGAAGGCTGAAGAGCGTTTGAAATACGGCGTTGTGGATTTCGGATAAATTGTTACGAGACAGATCGATTGTATGCAGCTCGTACAGCTTTGGGAATGTTTGACGAGGCACCGAATGAATCGAATTATGGGACACGTTGAGAACTTTCAGCCCGGTCATGTTGTGAAGCGGCACCTGCAATAATTGATGATTATTTCGTTGCAGAATTCTTAGGGTTCGACGAGTCGTTTTGTCGAACTATTCGTCTCCGAACGACACCTGGTTAAGACTGGTGAATTGATTGTAACTCAATTGTAGCTCCATGGCGTAAGTAGTACTGTCGAAGGAGTATTTGGAAATATTTTCTAGCTTATTGTGACTTAGGTCCAAGATCGTGATATTCACGCAGTTCTCGAAAGCACCTGGCTCTATCTTCGAGATCTCGTTATGAGATAAATTTATCTTTGCCAAATACAGATCTTTGAAAGAGAGTTTCTCTACGACTGTCACGAAATTTTCGGATACATCTAGTAGCTAGAGAAAGAGAGAGAGAAAGAGAGAGAGACAAGTAAATAAATAAAGATACATCATCTTTTCGTATTTGCACGTAAATAAACGGCATTCGTACTTCTGCGAATTGTAATTGATTAAACATCTGAAAGTCGATCTTCTTGATAAAATTTCTCGCCAGATCGATGGTACCTATCCTAGTTACAGGTCCAAAGGTTCCCCTTCCGACGTCGTTTATCTGATTGTCGCTTAAATACAGTCTTACGAGGAAACGCATGCCACGAAAGGAATTGGAGTCAAGCTTTCTGATCTTATTGTGACTCAGATTGAGTACTTTCAGCAGGGAGTTCCTTGCGAAGGTTCCTCTATATACGATGAAAACGTACATCGATTAGCCAAGGAATCGCACGAATTTTCGTATGTTTTTACCTTTTCAAATCTGCAATAGCATTGTGAGACAGATTGCACCAGCCCATTTTCGTCAGATCAGCCAAATGAGAGCCATCGAGTTTATTAATCAGATTGTGGGACAAGTCCACGTACTCCGTGTCCCTCAAACCCTTAAACTGATTTCGTTTAAGCTCCTTGATCTCGTTTCCATGCAGATCCAGCCTCTTTAGCTTCTTTAGGGGTGTCAATGCTTCCACGGGTAACGATGTCAGAGTGCCTGCAAGAGGGAATAGAGGGAATAGAGTCGGAAAGAAGTATTTAGTGAGTACAGCTCTTTTCACGCAAAGTAGTACCGTTGCTAATCTCCAGTTTCTCAATTTTTGCGGCAGCAGCGCTGTCGGCGAAACAATCTGCCGGCAAAGTGGAGATTCGATGGCCAGCGATGCTCAGGATGCTGAGATTTCCTAAAATTTGCAGCGCCTGGCGCGGGAACTTTTCCAACACGCTGTTTATCACGTACAGTTCTTGCAGTGTCCTGTTCACGCCGAGAAAACTGTGCTCCTCGATCAGCTTCAACGGGGTGTCCACGAATTTCAGCACTCGAACATCCAGCGGATAGAGAGCGGGTCCGTAAAAACGACCTTTAAACACATCACGATAAAACTAACACGTGACACAGTTCGATTTATCGAGTCTAAGTTAAGCATCAGGAAACGACTGCTTACCTATGTTACACTTGAACAAAATGAGTTCCTCGATAGGCATGCCCTCGTTCCCTAAATTGGAGAAGGCCAAGCTCAAGCTCGCCAGATTGGTGTTCTCGCAACGAATGTAAAGTCCTCTGTCGCTGCCGCGAACGCACTCGCAAGGATAGATGTACTTGGGTTCCCTGGGACACCTGAACCGCGGTCCAGGTGGAACGTAGCCGCCCATGACTGCGTGTAGGACCAAAATCCATAGTAACGGGGAAAGTATCATCTGTGGAATAAAACAACAGCATGGCCCAATTAATGTTTCATTCTCGTTGCTTTCCAACGGCGACGCGAGTTCCCTCGATGAAAATTTCAACGGGAGCAATTAACCAAAGGTGTAACTTTTATTAGTCACCGGTCCTTTTGTAATCCTACTGTTTTGCGTGAAACGCGAGAAAGTTTTTCCCGCGGTCGGTTGATCCCTCGTTAGATCCTCGCCTGGATAACACGCATATAAATACTATAAGCCCATTATACTTTTCCTCCGATTCGAAACGCGACCCTCTGATCGACTTGCCTTTCCATTTCCCTACTTCTTTTCAAACCCGTGACGCACCGTCTCTAGAAACTTTACCGTGCAATCCAAGTAGCATACGCTTTATGCGTATGCTGAAATATGTTTAAATAAATGCAAGTCACATCGTGGCGCGACTAATCTGTTCGTGGATCGGCGATTGCAGCACCAAGGAGCCAGTAAAAACAAAGAAGTCGTAAAGAGACGAATGACCTCGTTGCTACTATTATACTTCCTTGCTATAACACCCTTACGAGGAATCGCGTGCAGACGCCTGTTATCCGTGTATCTGTTCGAACAGCGTTTCTGCATGACGATTTCGTCGATGCAGTTGACACGAGCAAAAATGAAGACGAAATCTGTACGGAGTTAATCGCGTTAAATAAGTTCCTCTCGATACCTTGAGCGAAAAGTTGTGCTTTGATTTTGCAAACAGGATCGGAACAATAGAAAACTACCGACGGGATGATGAACTGTTTGGCAAGCGGGAGGAATAGGTGATCGCTGCTGCATTCCCTGACAGAAAGTGAAATGGCGCTCCGTGATGCGCGGCCGAATGCAAATACTTTCCTTCGAATCGGCTGGGGTTCGACGAGGAAGCTACTACAACGTTTGCGTGTTCATAACGATTTGCGTAAATCAAGTTCCTGCGACTTCTCGAAATCACGAAGCCTGGGTTAGAATATCGAAATAATTGACTCGCGGGGGATGATTCCACGAGGCATAGAGAGTTTTTCGGAAAAAATCTTCGAACGATCCGAATAGAGGCTAAACCCACGTTTAATCGTTAGATCGGGAACAAGCCTTTACCATAGAGAGGAAAGCGTGGGCCCGCGAAGTCTCTGGAACGGTATTTTTATTTTCATCGATGCGTTAACGAGATGACTTCAACCGGGAGTATTTAAGGAGGTCAATGAGGAGTGCAAGATCTTTACTACGTAATAAAAGATTTAACTGAAATAACGAGCCGAAATTTCATAGTGCAAAGTTGGAAAGGTACGCTCGCGGGGCCCACTGACCTGAGAAACGAATAGACATGCTTTATTACGGTTCCAGTAATCTAGTAATTCAGCGAGCGAGAAGGTAAAAAGAAAAGCGCGGTGATCTAGTTTCGCTGCACGTTTATGCAACGTTCGGAACATAATACGAGCCTTCCATGACAGCTGACCATAAATACGAAATGTATACTGCAAACGAGCACTCGTTGCAAAGCCCTGAAATTCTGTTTCGCAAAACTATGCAATTTAGGCCTTGGCAAATGTACCGGATAAACTTGTATAATAGGAAGTACAAAGTTTAACGGAGGAATACGTGGATAGACGCACTGCAAACGAAAACATTTAGTCCTTTCACTTCTCCTGAACCGACTCCAGCGGTGCAGCGACAGGCAATGAACCGAATCACTAGGATTTCTAGCTTGTATCAGAAAAATTTCTTGCACCGGCTCTACTGACGTAATTTCAGCTTTGACACACGATATTTCAATCGTCGAGAAATCTATCGTCTAGAAAACCAAGGACGAATCGAAAAGAAGGCAAAGGAATGGTTCGAAATAGGGGATACGAACATCGTTAGAGAGATCTCGCATAGAAGCGTAAACCCGCGACTCCGTGAATAATTAAGAAGAAATCTTGGCTCGTGAGAAGAAAACTCTTTCCGTTCTCGGGAGAAATAATTAATGCGCAAAGAAAATACAATAAACCATGCTCCACTTTTCGTAGCCAATTAATGTTACCATGGCAGCGTGGCAAGGGAAAGCTGGAAATCTCTAGAACAACATCCATCGTTACAATTTCCATTCGATCTTTGTCTCTACTCGAATATGTTTCCAATCGATCATGACAGGAGAACAGCAGCGCGGCATCGACGCGCGTTTTTCTTTCTTTTGTTCTACGTCGAGCGAGTCCAAGGATATTTTCGTTTCACCAGCTGTCCTTGTAGCCATGGCTTCCTGCCTGGTAACATTAGGAAAAATGCGGTCTCTTTTGAAACCCGATATGTTTTCGCGTGATCCATGAAATCTGGATGGACGGTAACATCAAAGGCGAAGGGAGATAAGAAGCTGTCTTTGTTTATGTCAGACGAGAACACGGATTGGACGAGGAAGAGACGAAGAGAAATCGAAGCCTCGTCGTTTGAAAAAGAATAATCAAAGGAAAGCTGGTATCAGAAGCGTAACCGGTAACCCCTATCTCTATCCACGCATTGAAATCACCACTGAACGAAGCTAGCAGATGACGCACAGACGCACGTGGAATCGCGCTCTGAATCACCGCCGTGATTTTATTTAACTCTGTTGAATAAACGAAAATTTACATTTCCATTTTCATTATTCGAACCGCTGAAACGTAATTTCTATCGAGGATTAAGTACCTTATTGCACTTCGTCCAAAGATGTTCCGAAAGCACGGTGACAGTCGTTGCTTTTAGGACAACCCTAGTCTTCTAGTCACATATTCGTCGTCCGATCAATTTGTGGTGCTTGTCTACGCGCGCGAGATTGGAATGC